TCAAAGACGGTATGTAAGAAATTCCAAATTCAAAGGGGAGTAAATCCCAGCTAGAGCAGAATATGGCATTTGAGTTGCAACAAAATCAAAAGTTGAACATCCAAACAAACATGGTTCATGGCCAGACCAAAAACAAAACCAACTCTAGGCAAGCAAAACTCAAAAGATTCAAACTGATGTAGATAACAGTAGTAACAGTTGCAAATCCATCATGGCAATGTTACACATCTAACAACAAATACCAAATACTGATGATTAAATGCACTACAATTCAACATCATTTACAAACTCAAGCTAAACATACACAATCAAGTTTATCAATCATAAGCTGCCAATGCTACAAAAGATGAACAGGCCTAGCATAAACTTTAAATGCTAGGCAATTTCTAGAAAACAACCTAACCAAAAGGTAGACCAAAACAGCTAATGGCATTCCAAAAGTGTTGACAAAACTGTGATACAACAATCATGGGTACTCAGGTTCAACCACATACAGCAGCTCAGCACAACAGATGGGAAATTCACTAAAACCTAAACTCAAAACAACCTGCACCAACAAAAATACTAGTGGCCAACAGCAATAAGGGTCCAGCACCAACCACACTAAAACTCAAACAAAACAGTCAGCCAAAACAAAGCTGTCTCCCACGACGGTTCCAACACAAACCTATAAAAACAAGTCTAAAATCAACAAGTCTCAAAGACAGCCCTAGTGTAAATGTCCTGAACTGGACCCTATCTACTGCTTAAATCCTGTTATCAATGATTAATCAAACCTGATGCACTACAAAAAACCAAAATCGATGATATTAAAAGTTCACAAAACTCAAAGTAACAAAACAATGCTCAAATAGCAGTATCAAGCAAAACCTATGACAGTATTAACCTGCTACCATAATGCAGACCAAAATAGGGATTAAAATCTTAAGATCTGAGGCTGTTATGGCAGTTAATCTCCAACAGGACACTATCACAAACATCAATGTCACAAGCCTATGATGGTTATCCTCCTACAATGCTAACAAGCAAGTCCCTACAGACCCCAAACTTGATGGTAAAGGCGCACATAATACACTATGCTCGAAAACATATGACAGTCACCATAAAAAGATAAGCTTATAACTAATTGGTCTCCTAACATTAAGCATCGGTCAAAAGCATGAAATCCAATGAGGTTTGGATGGGAATATTGACTGACTAACCTCCTAATCAATTTAGATAGCAAATGCAGTTAGAGAACTAACAATCAAACTTTAAGCATACAGACCTGGTTTGCTAAATTACCTGTAAATCATATTTGCTATGCCAAGCCCATGGTAAATACATTCAGACAGTTTTGAATAGAACAGAACACGAGTTGACATCACAATGCAAACATTGATACAGCCAAAACAAATGCACATGTCATGTAACTTTAACTCACATATGGTTGTTGATAGAACCCAACTTGAGACATTTTAAAACAAACATAATTTGTGTTGATTAATAATAACTCTTGTGAACCATCCAAAAACAATCACCACTGTAAACTTAAAATGCTCGACAGATCCATATCCACCTTGTGACATTTACTTGAACTATCAGCCTTAAACCAAACAACAGACACCTCTGATGAAGAAAACACAGTACAAACCAAACACCCTAAAGTCATAAGCATATCAACAAACCAAGACAAACAAGCCTCTCAAGACAGTTCCAACAGCAAATGCACACATAAAATTTTCAAAACAAAACGAAGGCTGGTTTAAAAAAGAAACCAGCAGCACATTAACCCATGGCATCAGCAGTTGGTCTTTGGTCATTACTATGCCAAATCATACATACACAAAATGGGAGTCATGACTATATGATTGCAAACACAAGCAAGTTCTGGCAGGAGAGCCTAATCATTAACAGCAACAGATGGAACCATGCCAATAAGTATTGATCAATAATGAACCACAAAAGCAGCAAAATTAACAATGGTTTGAAGACCTCAAAGTAAAGCAAAACATTAAATCAGGTTCTAACATCACAACCCAAAGATAACACATTTAACATGAATTCTCAACAATCCTACCTTTACAAGGTCATAAGCAGTACAGTTTTTTTATAACAATGCAGACATGTGGTCACCAAGGCAAAAATGCAAAACAAAGAAAGTTGAACAAAATCAGTTTAACATGCCAAAGCTCAACGTGCAAGCTCTCAAAGTATTTCTTGTGGACAGTTTGAAAAAAAAACAGTCTCATTTTTGTCTTTTGAAACAGAAACAAGAAATAAAATCTGCAAATTCCAAATATCAACTCAAAGTCATACTTCAGTGACAACTATAGACTCAGTTTAGCAAACACAAGTAGGTCAAACAGATGCACATCCAAGCAGACAGCAAAAAACAAATAAAACAACACCAAGCATGAATCCATATTTGTAACCATAATGATGAAAACAAACCAATCAAAACAGAAACTCAACCAATGATTCACAATTCATGGACAACACATGTTAAGGCATATTCAAAAAGATATTCACTCAAAAATGGTCAAACAGCAACAAAACAGAACTAATACATGCTTTAATGCTACTGATGCAATAAATCAAAGATATTTGTAATGCTTACCTCTTGTTGTCTTTCTTGAGAGACTACCAGCAAGCTAATCTCCCCTTTCTCTCAAGCTTTTGCAATTTTTCTCCCTTTTGTGAAACAGAACTGTTGGTTTCTAGGGCAGTTTTTTCTGAGGGAAAAATCAAGAGCTCTTTTTCTTTGAGTTGCTGCACAAAATTGTGGATGCCTCTCTAGGGTTTTCACATTTTAAGCCTTTATACTCCAGTCCAAAAACCAGCCAGCTGCTGAACGTGTCTCCTTGGCCTTGTTGTTGGAGTGGAAAATAGGTTTTGGTTAGGGGCTGCAGAGGTCAGAGCAGATGGCTGCTTGTCCCTTGCCTTGTTTGGTAAAGAAATTCAAAATAATGCAAGCAAGTACATTGCGTGTTGGTCTTGATATGGAATCGCTTTGTGGGAAAGCAAAATCAATTTATGTAGTGTGGAAATGCCTTATTGTACCAACATACTGCATACTGATGTCTTGACTAAATTCAAAACAAGTTCCATAGAAAATGTACCCTTGCTTCCTCTTGCGTTTTCATTTGCGCCTTAAATCACATACAGAGTTTGGTAAAACCAACAATACCACCTCAATCCTTGTTAAAAATCATACAGAATAGGCTTTGAGTTTGCTAAAAATGGTGATGTCTTGCCCAAGTTCCAAATCTTCACGCATATGGTCATGTTGTGTGTTTTATTTGCCCAACTGCTTGAAAAACGAAGGGTCTTGTAAATATTGGGGTGGCATAATACACGGATGTATCGCCACCCCAGTGGTTGAAGCAAGCGCGCAAAATGTACCTATCACTTTCATGACCATGGTTTGATCCTTGGTGGAGACCAAACCCCCTTTTTTATTTTCCAGCGCTTTTCCTTTTAAATATATATTTCTCCTTCCTTTGTTTATCACATGTGCATGTATGGATGAGATGGTAAAGCATTGTGCTTGTAATCCAAAGGTAGTGAGTTCAAATCTCATCTTGTGCATTTTTATTTCATCTTTTTTAGTTGGATTTTTTTTATCCCCCTGAGAACCACATATGCTTGTCTGCCTATCTCCAAGGATTTTGACTTGTATCTGATGACTTGGACACAAACTCTTGATCAGGTCTAGGAATCTTTGGAAAAATTCATTTTGTTTAGACACACATTTCTTGATCCTCTGTAAAATACAAAAAAAAATGCTATGCAATGTAATATGCAATGTAATATGCTAATGCAATGAAATGAAACATAAGCCAAAGAGGTTGGTCAAATTTTGGGGTACAACAACAACATTCTGCCGTGAACCATGTTTTAGAAAATATGTTTCCAATCCTAAAACCATGGATATAATAGGGATCCTTGAAGATAATTGAGACATCAGAATATAGTTTTTACATTAACTCATATTAATACAGTTTATACTTCCATTATTTTTTCAATAGCTTTTACTTTATTTTTCACTGCTAAATATGTTATCACTACATCTAAAATCTGAGAGATATGCAAGCCTTTAGTCATCATATTGCATAACTTTGAAAATATAATTTTTACTTTCCTTACAGAGTTGCTTTTGAGTGCTTCAGAATTGTAGAATTTGGCATTACTTGCGATTGAGACTTTACTTCAGGAAAATCGTAGAAGTCTTACGGATTCAAACCAATTACATATCCTAATAGATATGTTATTCAACAAATGGGAAACCGCCTCATTTATGATGAACGGAATTACGATATCCCAACCATGAAAGCAGAACTCTCTACTCTTTATGATGCTCTTACTAGTATATCAATCTATCTACTTTTTAGCCTTTCCAAACTTCTATATACTCACATTTCAAGTCTTAAACATCCAAAAAATTGATCACATTTTTAGAAACATATATTTCTTATTTTCTTTAGATGAACAAAGGATTATCTAAAGTAAAATCAATAAAGCAGTAAATACTAAAAAAGGTGGAGTTTTTTTCCTGCATGGTTATGGCGGTACATGTAAGACTTATATGTGAAGAACACTTACAAGTGATTTAAGGTCAAAACATGATATTTGTTTAACAGTTGAAACAAGTGGAATAACACCTATTTTGTTACCGGGAGGTAGAAAAACACATTCCAAGTTTAAAATCCATGTCCCAACTTTGAAAAATTCTACTTGCAAAGTTGACTACGACGATGAAGGAAATCACAACCTTCTCAAATTGGATTTTACAAATTGGTGAAAGGAGAGTTTCTGAACCAAATGGCAGTTTTTATGAAATTGACATGCCCTCTGAGCTTTGAATAACAAACTTTACTGACCCTATTGTTTCCATTGGCAACAACACTTACACGGATTTCATTGATAGCTTTCAATCTTACGACTACCTCAAAGTTCGAGCCATACTAGCATCAACATTGGAAGTTATTGATCAAATCAATGATCATCTTCTTGACTTAATGTCTGGTATAGTTTTTTATTCGTTCTTTCAATTTTCATTTTAATATTTCTTTCTTTTCCCTCATAATCATTACTTTCATACATAGGTAACTTATGGGATTACTACAGCTCAAACACTACGGATCAATCAAAAATACATGACAACAACTTCCTTGATGTCCTAAGCCCTGAGTTTCTTAGTTCATTGAAAACATATGGGTTGCCTAACCATCACATTAAGTTAAATATTGGAACACCAATTATGCTTATGATGGACATCGATCAATCTGAAGGTTTGTGTAATGGCACAAGGCTAATCGTAACAAAGATGGGCAATCATGTTATTGAAGCAGCAATCATGGCTGGAAAAGTAAATGGAAAGTTGATTTACATTCCCCGAATGGACATGTCCCCTTCGTAATACCCTTGGCCATTCCAATTAAGCAGGTCCCAATTCCCAATTATAGTATCATATACAATGACAATTAACAAATCTCAAGGACAATCTTTGGATTGGGTAGGATTTTATATACCAAGAGATATTTTCACTCACATTCAAATTTATGTCACACTGTCAAGAGTCGCAACCAAAAAGGGGATAAAAATCTTGATTCACGATGACAAATGCAACACAAAGTCTACAAAGGCAAAGTTGTTTACAAAAAAAATTTCCACAACATTTGAATGGTAAGATACAACTCTATGTCTCATTACTTTCATCGTTTTGTATGCAACCTTTCTTTATTCTCTTTGTTCCATTTCATACACTTATATTATGAAAACGTTTAAATTCCCGTTTGTGATCATAAATTTATTTTCCCAACTTACAACTACTATTGTTAGTATCATGGGTTGCGGTTTCAAAAAAAAATTCAAGCATGCAACATACATATCAGCAGCGTTGATTCTAACATGTTTTTCATCTACTCTTTCATTTCAACAATGTAAGATGGGTTGTATGTATAATTGATTGGCCATGTATGGTGTTGCTGAATTTTTGTATGCATATCAAATTTTGTAATTCACTTATACTGCTTTTTCAATTTTAAAATGTAATATAACCAACTTTATATTTAATTTTACAATCTCTCAATTCCAATATCTCAAATACATATTATGCCACTTATGGATGCAACAAAAAATAAACCCTCAATCTCTCAAATCCATCTGATGTGGATCGCCTTGAATGAAAATAAAAATTTCACACTTCAAAGCAAGATGTATTTTAATTATGGTAACATTATTATATAATGCTCTACTATACATAATTTCTTGCAGAATTGTTGAATTCAATCCATTCATTTTTTTTTTCAATATGTTTGCAGTTTTAAACCATAATTTCATATTCACTTACACAAAAATGATTGACAACACTACACAAGGTTTTAACATAGTTTACTGAATCTTCTTTTTCGTTTTTCAAATACTTTTTACATCACCATTGCTTAATACTAGTAATAAACATTATTCAAATTACCTACATATTCATAACCTGATGTTCATAATACATCACATTCAAATTAAGTGGGATTACATTACATGGATTTTACATAATATTTTGTTCCTCCATTTTAGTTTTCCTTGATCAAGCTTGCCAATATGTAACTCACGCCAGCCAAATAAATCTTCATACCAGCACTTACCAATTTGATTTTTTTACTAACTATTTAAATTAACAATACAAAACTAAATACTACACCATGGACAAGTTATCAAACTGCGCATAAACTTATCAAAACTTACTTTTAACTACAACAGTCTTCAACATCATAATGGGTTCATTACAGCAGGTAGTTTTCACATACCCTACCAAACAGATTTCACAACAAGAATATTACAAAACAACCTTAAATTATTGCAACTTCATTAAATAAATACCATCATAATATAATGCTACTTCCCTAAGGTTACTAAATCTTAGACTTAGGATACAAAACACAAACCATCAAAATATTGTAGACCAACCTATATCAAAACCTCATGCCCATAGCTGTTAATATTTTCATCTGTACTTTTAAAACCCACAACCACTGATTTTTACTTCCATTGTATTCATATCAAATAAAGGTCACCATATCTTCCACGCTTTATAATATACACCCATAGACGGTCTAGAGGAATACGAATCGTAAAACCCACCCTATCTCCTCTACGGAGCTTTTTTCTTCTTCGTGTATTCGTACCAGCCCTTGCCGATGAATTTCTCCAGCTTTACCACCTTATTCTTTCTCTTTGCATAATGAACTTCGTCGTAATACCTATCTCCATTCTCACAATCAATCATCTTGATCGACTTCTGGTTCCACCACAAGTAGTTCTTTTTCACATACCTAGGAAAACGTTGCATCATATTATACATTCAGATAAAATTATCAGCAAGTAACATGCATTTCAGAACACCAAACAAGTTTAACTAATACACCAATATACCAGAACATTTTTCCCCACTTTGTATATGAAGATAACAACCCTTCCCCATGAATACTCCTCCTCCTTTTCCAAGTTTTCATCATCGTCTGACAGATTCATGTGAATATCCAAGTTTGGTGAATCTAATGCCGCTATAACCATTTCACGGATCTTGATCATTTCTTGGATCTTACTATCAGATACGTCATTTCCAGAACTCTCTTCTCAGTTATAACGTAACAATCAAGAACACATTATTTTTCTTCGGTTACTCCAAATTAATAAAACATAACGGCTTTTCGACTTCAATATCTTACCTGCTACTTTCATTTGACATTAACTTTTTAACTTCAATGGCTTTCTTAGTTGTGTCATTTTTTCAAGATATTTGCAAAACCTTTTTTGATGAACTCATAACAGCTTTTCCTTTGCCATTAGCATGTTTTTTATCAAGCGTTTTTCAGATCCACTCTAGATCTCCAGATTTTGAGCATGAACCCCTGTCACAAATCAGACAACGCAATATAATCTATGAGACCCACACTACATGTTATTCTAATTGTAGTTAAACGTCGAAAAGAAAAAAAAATTTAGTTTTGGAAGGATTCCCTCCTGAATTTATACTGTCTCTATAGGGATCAGTGAGAGGGAAAGAACATCGTTCAACACTCTCTACGTTTCTAAGCTTATGGATAAATTGTTTGACAGATTCAAGGTACAATAGGTAAAAGTTGAAAATATAAAGATGGAACATATAAAATAAATACTTTAATATAAACGAAGCCTTGTTAAGATTAGATCTCATTAATTTATAACACATGCATTCTTCTAACCAATAAAACACAAATAAATCATTTGTCTAATATTCTCACGTATCACCCACAACAAAGGTTATGTCTAACGCAACGTCAGAGAACAACCGTATTGTCTCATTGGTGATGTCTCATACAACTCAACAACATAGAGCATTAAGAACTGATACTCAAGCAAATGTTAAGCCTAAATCTATGTCTAGAGTCTAGAACCTAACAGATAATCATCCTAGATCCAGATATAAAGAGTATATTTCTATAGCGGTTCAAATAAAAGATAAGCAGGTAAACAAAGATGACATCCATGTCAGCTTCATGATTGATTCATATAAAATGCCATGATCAGAATACGTACATACGCTTAACCCTTTTTACATGCATTCAACTAATTTTCCAAATGTAAGTGACCATAGTTCTTCATCTCTATTATCACACATCCTCACAATACCGTCTTGATCCTACTCATGCTACTCATGCTACTAATCAACACAACAAAATCAAAGATACTAGTGAATATCAACTTACAAGACTATGTCAAAATATTTCTCATTTATAGTTGAGTATCTAAGATCTAAGATTTCAAAAAGGTTTTGTCAACACCCACAAATAAGAAATCAAAGACAACATCAATATTGAATCAAAACTAGTTCACAATACATAGATTAAATGAAATACATAAGGTATCAAAAGATTACATCCTAACCCAATAAGAGATTGAAACTCTTACATTCTTCACCCAGAGAAGACCACTTTTATGCACTTGAAGAGCCTCTGAACAGTTAAATCGTCCCTGGAAAATATCTGAGTTCGCAGTGCGAGCACTTCTTCTCACAGCAAATCGCTTCACTACAGCTTCGCCCAACAAACTTTGGGCACTTTTCCTACTGCCTCTAATCTGAGATGGTTTGATGGGGCTTCGCCAGGATCTCGCACAACAAGCATTCGCTTTAACCTCGTTGGTGTTTGCACAACAAACATGCTGATTCCTCTTCTCTTTTTTGGCTTCCTTGTCAATTCGCTTGTGTCTTAATCATTGATGTTTTATGCCTAAATCCTGTACAATAACACACATCAAGAAATCCAAAGGTATTTTCAATGTAATTGAGGAATCACATAAGAAAAAGAAATAAATCCATTAAAAATGAGAATCGAGTTGAAAATACCAAGAAAGATGGTTCAATGTAAGTCAAAATTTACACTTAACAAACTCTCCACAACTAGATTTTTGCTTGTCCTCAAGAAAAGTAAGACCCTCATAAAAACAAGAAAAATTTGCTCAAACAAGAGGAATTTTTCAAGCATAAGATTCATCCAAGAAAGAGATAATGATTCAAATTCAAACAAGAGAGATTTTCTCAAACAAGAGGATTTGGTCAAGTATGAGAATGCGCACAAGCAATGCTCACCACTTAATATAATCGAACAATGACAAAGAATTTAGTTCTTAAACAAATATCATGAAATTTTTCAAATAACAACTAATCTCTCATACTTGAATCACTCTAACACTCCTCTTCAAATAAGAATGAAGAAATTAACGCGTTTGCAAACGCGGGGCAATTTCACTCACCTGACAAACAATGCTAATAACAATCCAATTCATACATTCATCTAATCAATAAAAAATAAATCATGGAAGCAAGAGATCACTAAGGGCTTTTAAGGTTGTAGCTTGGTTAGATTTACAACAAAGGATCATTTCTTTAGGCTATGAAATTAAAGTTGCCAATGCAAAAGAACATTCACTATAGAAGTTATTTACACATCCCAACTTATTTTCACCATTTCCTTTTCTCAATTGTAAACCTTCTCAAACTTTCTTTTGCACAATTATTTCATTCTCTATTTTTATTTTTCAGACAAGCATTCTTTTTATTTTATTTTTCACATTCATATTCACACTTTTTCTATGTTTGCTTGAAATTTTTGAAAAAATTTAGTACCCTACAGTTTTCCTTTTCGTTTTCCCCAACTTGAATTCAACCAAAGCTCAAGTAAACACTCATTATTTTTTATGGCAAGGAAATGAATTTAAAACAATATTCAAAGGTTCAAGAATATTTTTTAGAATCTCACAAAATTCAATGGTGAACTAAACATTCAAATTATGTACATAAACCAAGTTCATAACTAAAATGAGATCTAAATTGTTTAGCTCAAAACGGTTAACAAATTATCACTACTCACAAGTAAGTTACTT